TAAATTATATAAAATTATAAAATAACTTTTTAATTAATATTATAAAGCTCTAAATAAAGGGACTTAAGAAAACCTAATAAAGTTTTTAACTAAAAAATAGTATAATTTTAAAAATAAATGTATTATTAAAATTTTATTTAAAATTAAATTACATAAATACCACTCAATGCTTAGGCATCTACGTATCTAACACCAAAATTTTAATTTTAATAATTGTCATTTTATCTATGGAAGAAAATGTGTATTTCAATTTTTAAAAATAAAAAAAAGTGAAATGAATAATTTGGGTGGAATAAATGCTAAGAAATCTGCTTTACATATAAATTGGATGGTATTTATGTAAATGCCAGGATTTCTCTCTTCTAATTCATGTCATTGATCATCTCTTCCTTATTTTGAGGGTTTTCTCTACATTATATATTTCAAATTTAAGCGTATTTCATCATATTTGTCTTCGATTGAATTTCTTATTTTTCGGTGCTAGTAAAATTTGAACACATAAACTCTACAATTCAACAATTTTATTCAAACGATAATTGCAATGCCATTCATTTTTTGTTTTGCCTTAAATAAATAACAAAGCTCATCTGAAAATAATTCCGTTGTAGTCTAGTTGGTTAGGATACTCGGCTCTCACCCGAGAGACCCGGGTTCGAGTCCCGGCAACGGAAATTTTTTGTATATTTAAACAATTGATTTTATCGTAATATTCAGAAGGCTACTTTGTAAATGCTAATTACACCTCACGTGCTGGTGGAGGCGGCAATTTGGTCCAGAAAATAAAATAATATTGTAATTATTTTGCAAACATTTTATTTTAAAAAAATGAAATACATTTTCTCATATATAACTTGTGGCATGAAAATATTAAAATAGTAAATATCAAACTTCGGTGTTAATTATGTAAATATTGTTAAATATGAAAATGTGTCAGTACAAAAGAAGAGGGGCAAAAAAAAAAAAATAAAAAAAAAATCAACTAAAGTAAGTTTAGATTAAAATTTTAGATTTTAAAGAAATAAATAAAATGAAATAAAAAGTAAGTAAGTATAAATTATACAATAAAAATATATATCTTAATATAATTATTATGAACACACATACATATTAAGGATCTATTTGGGGCAGTTGCAACTTATTCAATAATCTGCTGATAAACTAGGTGCGGTTGCTATTAGAAATTTTTATTTTTTGGAAAAGTTGGACCGCTGTCAGAAAGTTGCCACCACACATAGATAGGTACGGTGTGAAAAAACTATTTTCAGCATTTTGAAAACGCATAAGCTACCAAAACACAGTTTACCCAAACAGACCAGGTGCGTTTTCAAAACGCTACCGCACCAAATAAACTGCGTCAAACATGCCCTAAATCGTTTACATCAAATTATTAATAATTAATTCACATTAAAATTCATTGCAATATTATTTTCAATACATATAAACACTAAACTAATTATAAGATCATCTTTCATTTAGTTTTATAATCTCATTTTTACAATTTTGATGATTAAAATGTACTTATTCAATTATTATTATTGAAATTAGTAATATTAAAATCAATTTACTAATATTTTACATAATTTAACTAAGCCAATATAACATAAATATAAATATATAGAGAGATTCTAAAATATTTAATTCTTATGAGCTTTAATTTCAAAACATTTTATTTATAATTTTAAGTGTAGTTTCTATGTATCTATGAAATATCCAAGGTAAAACTTATTTAAAAGTTAATAAATATCATCAATTTTGAATGATTGATATTCATTTCAAAGGCCTATTACAAAATAAAAATAATAATAATTCTATATACTCTCGAATATCATGAATATTAAAATTATGCCAAAGAATCGCTCCTTAACAAATATATTTCAATCAATAAATCTTTGATTCTTAATACATTTGCTTTTTTTTTTTTTTTTTTTTTTGGGGTTTAATTTAACTCAAGCTTCAACAACAATAGTATAATATTTTATATTACAAGTATCAACTCGTATAAATTTATAAATTTTGCTTGAGAATGTAAATATTTTTTAAAATATTTGGAGAAATATATATAAATTATTTCAGTGAGCATTTTGTAACTGTATAAAATTTAAATTAAATAACTATAGTTCTTTTGTGATAAAATATTTAAAATAATTATAAAATATTATTTTATTATCTTACATTTAAAATTATAAGAGGCAAAAATTTTAGTGTATTGATGCGTGTCGGAGTTCACGACGGTAGAGTAATAGATTATCTTCTTAGCATTGCACGAGAATTCTGCACACTTAGGTAAAATAAAATAATTAGTAATGACACCAGAAGTTTTTATATAGAAAACTCGTAAAAGGAAAAATCACGTGTCGTGACCCAATTGTAAAACTCCACTATAATTTTATGATTACAGTCTCATTGTCCCATAAATAGAAAAGAGTTACTAGGTATTACAAGTTACAATGCTGACTAAAAGGTGAATGTGTGTTCAGGCCTTTAATCCAGCCATATCCTAATTTTGCAATCCATTATTCTCAACATAATACCCATCACCCTCGATTAACAATAACTTATTTACAACTTGAAGTTCAAATACAAATATCAAAACTTTAGAAGGACATATCGATTTCCATTGTAACACCTAAACATGCAATATTTTGCATTAATTCTTCATGTTAAGGCATCGATGAAAGACTACAAAATTAGTGTTGTTAGATAAAAGATTTGAATGCAGTTATACCATATTAATGCAGTATGTCATTTACGCATGATGCAGCAGGTGGTAGCCCCAATTGAAAAAAATTATTTTTGCATCACTGATAGTGCTAACCAGAAAAGAGCTCATCGTTCTCAAATCCACATATTCAAGCCTCCAAGACACTAAATAGTTCATGTTAGTTTCCTTCGGTAAGGAAACAAACCAAACATGAATAATTTTTTTAGCTCAAAATGAATCAGTAATATTGCCTTAAAACTGCAAGATTCAATTAACACATTCCCCACGCTTTATTTTCCTATCATGGGGTACGAGCATCCTATAAAGATTGAAGCAACCAATAAGAATAGTACATCTGGCACAAGCCACCTGAATGCTCAATAAGAACTATCAATTAGTACAAAATTCCTTGAGAAAAAAATATGAGAAGTGTAGAGAAGTTATGGTTTCGTGAGTTCTGAAGAGGCAGTGAAGAATTTGAAGATTTTTTTAACATAAAGTGTAATTAAGCATTTTCCAAGGCAATAAATGTAAAGTGTTTCCAAGATCATTAATCTCACTTTATTTAATTACGAAAAGAGAAAAAGAAGTGTAACATACAAGAACCGATACAACCCGGTGAATAACATAATCATAACTCATGCAAATCATGACATGATAATGATCCAACATTAAATAACTCATCATAACCAGAAACAAGAGTAGACATGCGTAAACATAAAAAGATCCTTAGTTGCGTATAATCAAAATTCACGACTCATTAATCGAGTTTTCAAGGTGTAAATTGTATCATCCTCCTCAGCTTCAAAGAATTTGACATCATCAAATGAGTTTACAAAAAAAATGAGTACAAAAGCGTGTAGCAACACGAAGTCATCAACGAGCCTAGGGAAAAATATGATCTCTCCGAAAAGTAATGAAATAAACTTACAAGTTTGCCAACGGACATGCGAGCTCTGACATGGACTAAATGATAGGAGCGAAATCAATGAAAAAGATGTACCGTGGTCACTGCCAACATGTCAGCACCATTCGCAAATGCTGCAAAATTATTTGGGGTTGCAAACGTAACAACATTATTCGAGGCTTGCCCACATTACATTGTTAAAACCAACAATGAACACTTACAGATTCAAAATGTCAGGATTGAAAATAAGATTCCAATGAATGCTCTCAATTATTTGGTGTTTTTAAGAATTTAGTTTAAGGAAGACAAAATAACACTCTTAAGCAAAGCTACAGATCCCATCAAGCTGAACTGACTACTTGTAAACATAAGATTTGGATTTAAACTGATAAACTTATGAGTGAAATACTGTGAGGAATAAGTAAGGATAGAAAATACTGTGGCACAAAAAGTCAAATTTGAAATATGCATTAGCTAGACTACAAAATGGAATGATATAAAAATCAAATTTTTAATGAGAAATTGAATGACCTAAACAAGTGAAGATAATGAGTTTTTCACATAAATTTAACAAAACAATGAAAAATAAATGATAGTGGCAAAGGCAAATGCAAAAAGCTTCTATACGAAAATTGAGGTTGTTCAACTCTTTTGGAGCCAACTAAAGTCCAACACCAATTAAGTTTTTGTAGTGCTTAAATAAGAAGTCAAAAATGAACTCAATAAGTTTCAATAGAATAAATTACAATTTAAAAATTTTATAAAATGCAAAATTATATATTGATACATTTAGCAATGCAAAAAATTTAATACCCATTGACCGTCTCCCAGGAACAAAAAAGGCTCAGACACTAAATATGGTGTAGAAAGACAGCAAACTAGTATAGGATGAAGCTAAAATATACAAAACTGTAGAAGTATGGATTACTTACTCATGCTACCAACGAATCAAATAAATAAGACCCATAAAAACCATTCCTATCAAGTTTTTCCACGGCATAAAGCATCACATAAAAAACAGACTGAGTAATTCAAAGGACAATCTAAATCTACAAACAGAAAAAAGCCATTTCAGATGATTGATCCTCATTCAAACTCTTTAGCATACATGAGCACGAAGTCAAACAATTATGAAGAAACAAAGTGCAAACATAATAAAAACTCAAGTCAATTATATAAAGCCCAGTAGGCTCCACAAGGAATGAAGGCAAGAAATTCTGCAATACTTGACAAAATGAGCTCTCTGGTCGTGCAGTCTGCACTACCATAATCAAAGATATAAAATTACAATACTATGTACATCAGGAAGGCAGCAAGCAAAGATTGCAGAAACTAGGCATCAAGGAAATATCTTCAAATCCCATCCAGATGCTGAGAATAAGTAAAACTAGAGGTCAAGAAAGCTTTTTATCACCGTAAAAACAAAATATTAAAACGTTCCACTGAAGGCCCAAGAGGAAGGATTCCTTGATCCATTCCTCCTTTCTGTTGTACCACCATCGCTGCCAACTCCCTGTTCACTACTCTCAACAACATGCCCACTAGAAATCTTTGACTCATCAGCAGGCAACTGAAACCTGCACACAGGACAAGAACTATGGAGCTCCAGCCATGAAGAAATACAATCTTTATGAAACTTATGGTTACAAGGCAACTCTTTAGCTTGCATTCCAACTTCAAGATCCTCCAGACAGACCGGACATTTCGTAATTTCCTGAAGTTTCACTGTTGGCAACGCAATTACAGCCTCTTTCTGTGTAGGAGGGGTACCATAGCAGTTGGGATCATTCTCAGCCAAATGCTGGAATAGGATTTCAATTCCAGGTCCAACAAAGTAATCTCCAACGGTGGCACCAATGGTGGCATCATCAGACTCATTAGTTGGATTCTGGGCAGTATCAAAAGATCCTTCAAGGATAACAGCTTCATTAAAAGAGTCAATTAGAATCAGGCTCTCGTTTTCCCTTTCCCCCTCCATCTCCCTTTCCATCTCAGGTTCATCAGATTCTGACCTAAAATCATCTCGGAGGCTACGAAGCAGTTGATGGACGGCAGAACTCTGCCTCCTCCTTTGTAAAATAGACTCCATTTCATGCTCAGCATCTGAGTCATCATCACCCTCATCCATTCTAGCTCTCCAGACATCCTCATCAGTCTCCCTCCGTCGCCTCCAGAGAATGGATTCTAGCTCACGCTCTAGATCAGACTCATCGTCATCATCATCTTCTATTCTTCGAAACCTCCGCCTCTGGGGTGGACGAGGAGGATTGCCCATCATCCCCATCATTACTGAGGCCCATGAAGAAATGGGTCGCTCGGATCCTACGTTTTCATATTCTGCAGCTTCCCTTCCGGCCATTTCTTCCACAAACCCACAATCACAGAAGGGGCACTTAAGCTCAGGCTCCATGACTGGGTTCACTCTTTGCCGACACATGAAGCACCAGTGGCTGGTATTCATAGCATCAGCCATCTTCTAATCCTCTATTTAACCTCCCGTTCAACTGCGTAACGAATTTATGAGGAGAACCTAACACATGCAACAGAGAAATGGAAGACCAAAGAATCCATTTCAGATATTTGGAAGAAAGATAAACATACAGTAGATCTAAACAAATTCCAGCATACAAATCAAAAAAAAAAAAAAATCACATAAAGCGCGCATCTCACAAAATCCGAAAAAGTACTATCCAAAAGAGATTCGAAAAAGCTCTGAAAAGAAAAGCGAAGAAGAATCCGGCCAATATTATAAGCTCAGAGCACAAAGAAAACCAAAATTCAATCTAAATTGTTCAAATTGCAACAACACGCCCTCGAAGGTCAGAAAAGCTTTATAGAAGGCCAAAAAAAAGTCCTCACCCAGTTACGAAACCCTAGAAAAACGAAAGATACAATAAAAATGGCGGATTGAGAACAGAAATAGATGAGCAATCAAAATCAAAAGCAAGGAGAAGTGATTACCTTGTCGAAAAATCGAATGGATTACAGCATCTACTGGACCCGGCTCTTTTAAGCGCAGAGTTAGCCTTAGCGGAAATTGCCAGGAAATAAAAAGCCGAACTTTCCAGCGTTTTTCATTCTCATTATATACTAAAATTTGCCCTTCCATCATTAGTTATTTGCGATAAACATAGCCCTTAAGAAACATGTCTAAGAAGAGTTTGATATTAATGATCTAATTTCGAGTTCATTCAAAATTAGTTCAAAAATTATTTATTTCAAAATTTTAGCTCGTAACTTAGATTGTTTATTTCGATTCGATCTTGATTCGAGCCAAAATTCAAATCAATTTTTGAGAGGTTAATAATTTTTCAGAGTTAAATTTGTTAAATGCATAGCCCTGTCATCATTAAGGTTATTAAATGATCTAATTTTGAGTTGAGCCGGGTAGGCTCAAAATTAGCTCGCCTTGAAAAAAATTCAATCTAAATTTTTTGCTCATAACTTTGCTCATTTATTTCGATCCAGTCTCAATCCATGTCAAAATTCAAGTCTATTTTCGAGCGTTTAACAATCTTCCAGCTAAATTTACCGTCCTACTGTCAACTGCACAAGATTCGCAGGATTTTTTTTTATTTCTCTTAGAACACTTTTTTGGCACAAGGTCTAATTTGGCATACTTGACATTCTTCAATTTTCAAATAAATAAATTTGTCGTATGAGAACAAATTATATAAATGATCATCTTAATAAAACAAATTAGCAAATGGAGTGCGAAACAAAAAAAAAAATTCAAAAGGGCAGATTCACCCCCAATGGGGGCATGTATCTAATATATCCGTAAAAAAAAAATGTGAGCAAAAACTACTCACAACCAGAGATTCATGTGTATTTGTTTGCTATGTGGTTTAAAGTGTTCCCAAGGAAACGTATCTCACTTGATTAATTATATATTGAGGGTTGCCCAATAATATGCTGTATCCAAATGAGTTTTGCTTACATTAGTAGTGACGACTAACATAAGACTATCAAATGACAGTTATTCGTAGGAGAATGTTTTGATGCTTTCAAAGCTTCCATTAAGCTACGGGACGAAGTGTGAGTCTCTCACGGTCCCACATGGGTAACAGACTCATCGGCATATAGAGCTTGTGAAATAACTGAATCATCATGATGAGGAATCCCAATACGTCAAAGCACATCTGAACCATAAGGGCAAGGGAAAAATCATCTTATGCTAAAAAGGTCGCAGCTCATCGGTAATTGGTCCTTCAAGATGATACCGAAGAAGGCAAAATAAATGACAGGGCTCAACTCGGGTTGTCAAAGGAGGTAAGCGTAATCCTTAGAAGGTAGAGATAACAAGGTCGGAGTACCACGTACCCGTCATCCCAAGACACTAAGACCCTAATTCTACCTAATTGTGAAGGTAATCGACCCAACATATCCTGAGATCCCCGATTAGCAAATCCATAAATTGTGTCGTCCGCGAGAACCTCGATAACCCTAATGTCAAAGTAATGAAATTTCATTCTAAGACTATCAAACAGAGCTTCAAGAGATGAGACTTATATCTGCCGAAGTGGCATGAATGTTACTGAAAAAGAAGAGAAAGTTGAGTCCAACTAAAAAGCTGTAAACACTTCCAATAAAGGACATACAACATGCCTGAGTCAGGGAGCCATCTAACAAATGAAGCACACTAGACAACCACCTAAAAAGAAATCTATTCTATGTTAGTCGGGTTGAGAAAGTACAGAGACTTCTCTTAAGGACATGCAAAAATGTTCTAGTTATCTAGAGAGGTTCTTAGATATTGTGGATGTCCTATTAATCATAACTTGGGTGAAGGTCATGCTATGCAAGAGGTTCTTAGATATTGTGGATGTCTTATTAATCATAACTTGGGTGAAGGTCATGTTATGCAACCCGTCTAAAATCAATTCAAATGTCATGTAAGAAACAAAATGTAAGTTTTGAAACATTCTGACAATTTTAATCTTAAATTTTAATTTACTTTGAAATTTTTATAAGAATTTTTGTACAAAAATTTACAATTTTAAGGTTCTAAATAGCATAAGTTTCAATTTTCGTAGCATCCCAGGTACAACAACAAAGAAACATATGAAATAACCTAAGAATGTAATCATGCAGGAAAAGCAGTAGGACAAACCAAGTAAAATAATATAAGTCTGGTGTCGTTGGGTCAGCGACATATCTCAAGAAAGCAAAAGGTGACCGGACTCCACATATACATGTCCGATCTAAATTATATACATAAATGAGATTTAGAACTAAAGTACGGGACACGAGCAAGCAACTTCTGGTTTCTGTCACAAGTTTTCATATACCTGACACCTCACAACATGTGCTTATACCTTACCACTAATACACGACTCTCCTAAGAATCTAAAAGTACAAAGGAAAAAGAGAACAAAGGATTCGACCTGCATAAAAATAATATCAGCAAGAAAGCCAAACAAGCACGCAACATGTCTGGGTTAAGCTTGGTGGGAGAGCTAAGTAGCACATCAGAAAAAGGTTAGTGGTAATCATTATGTTGCTCCCCCCTTTCATTATACTTGTGTGTGCATATATATGGCATGACCCTCTGCAGAATAACAGTCTAATATAATATTGTGCATATCAAGCATGCAGCACACCAAAAAACACAAAAGTGACTGTTGTTTAGCACAAGCAAATCAACAAAGAATAATAATTAGAGGCATCGAAAAGACTACTCACCATTCCAAATCCTATCCTAGCACACAATCTAACGAGAATGTGTCCTAAACAACATCTAAGTGCTCGGGGTAAGTCTCTGAGTACGTTTGACTTTAACGGAGTTGCCACACCAGCCTCATCCTGAAGATCTAAGGGATCTAAAGGTTGTCACCCATGATGGATTTTGGAAAGAGTTGGTCTTTCATATGTCCTAGCTTGCTACATACATAATTTTAAAATTATCGCGAACGTAATAAGTAGAAAAATGTAGAAAAATATATTATTTAATTTTAAAATAAGAGTCATTAAATACGAACATTTAACATGCAATGTTACACAAGTTAGATCCATTGGATCCTTAGCATAAACATACTCGTGTCAATCCCAATATGATAACTCGCATTGCTCTTCGGGGCCAACCTGACAAACAATTATCGTTAAGTATCGAGACCAACACAAGGTCACTTGCCCTTTGAAACTAGCTCGCTATCATGCACACATGCAAATTTAAATGCAAGCAAATATATGAAAAAATGGCGAGCTGTGTGCCATAGAGACAGTGACTTGAGAGCATACGTGTCATGGAGGCAGCGACCCAAAGCAATGGGTCTGTCATAGAAGCAGTGGCATGAAAAATGGGTGTGTTGTGGAGATAATGACCTGAAAGGGTGGATATGTCATGGAGGCAGCAACCCAGAAAAATGGGTGTATCGTGGAGGCAGTGACTCAAAAGCATGGGTGTGTTGATGAGGCAGCGACTTAAGGAAATTAGTGTGTCGTGAAGGCAGTAACCCAAAAAAATGAGCTTATCGTGGAGGCAGCAACCCAAATAATGGTTGTTTCATGAAGACAATGACCCGAAAGATTGGGCATGTCGTGGGGTAGTGGCCTGAAAAATGGGTCCATCATGGAGGCAGTGACTGGAAAGTCACGAAGGCAGTGGCCTGAAGAATTGGTGCGTCGTTGATCCTGACAAAATATGTGTGTGCATAGTGTGTAATTACTTCAATTTAAAACTCACACAAAGGCACAAAAAAACTTAACTCTCACTGCCTGTATGTGCTTGCACCATTAATTCTCGACTGAGTGCTATTTAGCAAATAATTTTTATTTTTCTCCACAATTTAATTTTACATATTAGGGATACTACACAAGTGCACGTATCATTTCAAGTAATATATGACTTTCTTTTAGTCTCCAAGTATCGATCCCACGGGGAAGAAAAAACTCTTTATATTCACTTAGTAAAACTCTACTTAAACTGCAGGTAAATTATCTAGAGATTAAGATTAAATTGTATAAAGAAGTAACTAATACCTACAAATTCTCTTTCTAAACTCAAAGAAAATGATAAATGTTTCAAAACTAGCTTTATGTAGAAGAGTTCAAATTGTATGAAAATTTTTCTCTTTGCAACGAGATTATAATCAGTGTAGGAATCAAATGTTTATAAATTTAAAATGTAGTTTTTTGAAAAAAAAAAAGAGCATACATATTCCTTACCCTCTTATAAGTGCATAAAAAATATTGGCTAACCTAGAGTTAAATTCCTAAATCTTTGGTTATGCTGAGTAGGTTCTAGTCTGTCATCATAGAGTACCCACGTAAGCCCTCGATTAGGGCTAACCTAGCCTTAAGTTCCAAACCCTATATCAAATTAGTTAAGGTTCTAGCTTGTCACCCTAGAATAATCATTTTACACATGTCAAATTTTATCTCCCTATCTATTTGCACTCACCTGAAGATTACTTTTTCTTCTTCCTAAAGGTTAGTGTGGTAATTACTAATTGAGAAAAAGTATATCCCTCCCGGGTCATTAGGTTTTCAAAATATGTTTAAACTTATTAATTGGCCAAATTGCATAAGTAAATTAAGCATGAAGTAAAATATCATCACAATATTGAAATAAAAGCAATTCTAAATAAATATAATCCTACACATGACTATTTATTATCACAAGAAGAAAGATGAAGAAAATTACTCAGATTTCATGGTGAAAATATAACAACATATGAATTGATATTTAAAATTAGGTTTACACAATAAAATTTAACAAACTCAAACAAAAATATAAAACACTTATCTAGGACCGCCTCCAAGCAAATCTCCTGAAGTTTCTTTGTCTTCCTCTCTCTTCTTACACTAACTTCCTCTCTAACCACTCTAGCCTCCTAATCTCTTCTTTACTTTTATAATAACCCTTGAAATACCCTAAGAGTCACTTCAGATGCCCCTCTAAAATTCGTTCAATAGATTGTATCTAAAAAAAATGGATTCTGGAGCGCAGACACGAATCTGGGCGCATAGGTGCCTACCTTTTAGAAGCTTGAAATAATTGTCAGGCGTCTAGGCTCCAGATCCTAGTGTCATGATGTCGGGCTCTTTGTTTCCATGTATAGGTTATAG